AAAAAAAAAAAATCACTTTAAACAACTGGTACGTTGTTTCCATGGATACATGGCAAAGTAACAACTAATCTCAAATTCTCTTACGTTGTGGGTGTTGCAAGGTCCTAAGGATGTATATGTGCCAGTCATGAATTTTATTGCTTTTCCTCAAGATAGTAGCATTAACCCAATCTTAACAACAAATTTTGCATGGTTACACTGTGTTACCATAGCAACCATGAAAGTTATTTTTAGAATAATATTGCAAATACCTAATTACTTAAGGTCAAATATTTTTATTGTTTTTCTTAGGTTGTTGACTGAGTTCATCATGTAACACCTATCATTAGTGAATATTGAGTGTTTTTCAGCATTTTCAGCATCTAAAATGCAATCCAAATGTACCCATGGTTACAACTTACTTAGAGACAAATTCTAAATAGTTTCTTTATAGCATAAGTGGCAACAATGTGTCATGTTTTTGAGAGAATGGTTTGTTTGTTTTTTCTTAGTCTTTATTAAGGCTTAATAAAGATTCAAAGTAGCTGAAAATCTCAAATTTTCCAACTTTTCTGGCTGTTACCATGGCAACCAAGACACATAGCAACGAAATTTTATTTGATATATGTTTCTGGTGTCAAGTTGTAATAATGGGCAAAGTTTCATCATAATTGGTGACCATACGTGGCAAAGAAGTTAAAGTGGTTACAGAGAATCGCTATTAATACATTGTAACTCGTTATAATGAGTTAATATCTCGTTGTAACGAAATCTCTTTATAACAAAGTAATAAACTCGTTATAATGAATTAATTATTTTGTTATATATATATATATATATATATATATATATATATATATATATATATATATATATATATATATATATATATATATATATATATATATATATATATAATTCTGACTGTAACGCGCAATTTGATTATTTGATTGGATTAAAAAAATACTTATATAAACTGGATTGCCTACGTCACAATGACTTGCTTAAAACGTATCGATCCGCCTGACGTTACATTTAAATTCTGTACAATTTGAAGTCATTTTTTATGGGCAATTATTTTTTTACATACACTGAATGAATGAAAATTAAATTATAAGGAATGAATTTAATAGCTACCCAATTTACACGGTATAAAGTGGGTTGGATCAGTTTACGCTTTTTTATAAAGCATAAACTACCCCAACCCACTTTATACCGTAAAAAAATTGGGTAGCTATTAAATTCATTCCTTAAATATATATTGAATATTATCTCCTTTATTTCTTAAGAAAACCATTGTCGTTTGCAACTCAGTAAACACGGCTAAGCATTTCACCTCAACAGATTTATTGAGCAGTGGCTCTTCCATCAATTAAACGTACAATGACGTACATATCAATAAAACAATATTTAACATACTTAATCCTACTTTAAATGAGTATTTGTACCGATATAAATATAAACAATAAAATGTCTTTCTTTGTTTGTTAGTACAGGAATTAACGTTGAAAGCTATTGCAGAAAAAAAATTACATTGCTTACGCGGCTTATGTATTTTTTCTGCTACAGCTGCAACATTAATTCCCGTACTAACAACCAAAGAAAGTATTTTGTTTAAATAACGAGTTAGTCATCTCCCTATAACGAGATATAATTAATTATCCCGTGAAAACACGTTAAATATTTCTTATCTTGTCAAAAATGAGCCTATCCTCCTTTAATTCGTATTAACACATGTACACAGGATACATGCATTCTTTTATCTGGTGTATTTATAATTTTTTTTTTTGTTCATTTTATCCAAAAACTCTCATGATATAAAAGAAAAGAGTTATTAATTTACGTTAAATGTAAACTGGGTTAAGCAACAGATTACAAAAATTAAATTAAATCATTCTTGTATTTGAAAGAAAAACTATGATGAATGGGTTTGATTAAACAAAGAAATCTGACAAATGACCTTGAATTCCCAGGATCAAGATTTTTTTCTGTTCAGTTTAGCACCCTCACGAGATGAGACTTAAATCAGAGCTAGTATCAAATCACAGATTGCTTGCAATCCATACTACAATGACTATTTGTGTTGTCATTTCATCTAATTTTCCTGCACGCTGACTTGCTTGTATTTTATCTTATCATCTGTGCTTAAAACTCCATGACTGTTATTCACGTCTTTTTTTTTTTTATAAAAAGGAACGTGGGAAAGGTTAGCTTAAGAACCTCTGTTAAAAAAAATTACTCGACGAGATTTCTGTTTCAGTTTTGATCTGTATGAAGAGTTTATTTATTTTTATTTTGATGACAGGAATTACAAATTAAAGCTTATGTCAAAATCTATTAATGCAAATATCTCATATACCTCTCTGTTAATTCTGGTAAAGTTAGATACTGTGGAAATTTCAGTGTTCATTGAATTCGTGGGTCACCCTTAACCACAAATTTTACATCCCCATGATCAATTATTTTGTCAACATACGTATTTATATTCATTGAATCCTCTCTATATACGAGTTACCCATAGAATTATCTCCTCAAGAACATTGACCCCCACGAACTTAAATGATTTCAAGTAATTAATATCCTTCGTGGTCCGAAAGATCATCCATCCGTGTTTCTTTGTTCACTTGCACTTAGTTTTACAACTAAAATTATTTGATATTTTATTTTCCATCATGAATTCAATTGTTATTTCGACTTTGATTTTTGAGAATATACAGCTGTATGTTCCATTTCAAATGAACTCGATAGTGATTCAAACAAGCTTGCCCTGACCACTTGAATCTTATCAATGGCGACATACAACGTACAAACATAATAGACTGTGTACCGATACTAATGATCATACAGTGTAACTACATACACTTTACATTGTATGACTGCACTTCTATAACCAAACATTTTTCTGGAATGTTGTGAATTAATATGAATGTTTATATTCACGTTCGATATTGTCAAAATTTACACAATACATGGTGTCTAATTTAGCCTTTACTAAAAAGTTCTAATAAATGTAATTAGAATACAAAGTCCCCCGACATCCTGTATTATACGTAATAATTCTCCACATGCCCCTGTGCTAAAAATATTGCCGAGCGACTTTTAGTACAATAAATAGAAAAAAAAAAAAACGGGGCGGGATACTTTGAGAGGGGCGAGAGAGGCCATGGGGATTTATGGTATAAAATTTCATTGCAAAAGCTTCTTGAGATGTCGCCCGAAAACGAAAGTGTTTCACACAGACGGAATGTATGAATTTACGACCTTGAACATTGACTTTTTGACCTCAAAATCAATAGAAGTTTTCCTTAGGCCACAGGGAGTGGTTACGTAAAATTTCATTGCAAAAGCTCAAAGGATTCTCGAGATATCGCGCGGAAACGAAAGTGTTAAAACAGAATTTATTAATTTATGACCTTGACCTTTGACCTTTTGACCTCAAAATCAATAGGGTTCTTCTTGAAGCCATATGGATTTGCTTTGCAAAATTTCATTGCGAAAGCTCGAAGGGTTCTCGAGATATCGCGCCGAAAGTGTTACAGACAGACAAACATACAGACGGACGGACGGACAGACCCAAATTAATATCCCCCATTTTCAGGGGGACAAAAAGTCTACTTCTAATTTAAGCATGTTAAGCGCATGTGAAGAGACAAAGATTCAAAATAATATTTCTTTTACGATATTTGTATCATAAATAGAAAGATATGGGTATAGCGAAGTTTTGACAAACTCAACTGCACTTTATTTAGCAAAGAATACACAATATAAGTGCCGAAAGAAAAACAAGGGTCGTATCTACCGTATTATTGTTATCGTCCATGTCAAGGTCATGCCACTTTTATTGAAATGTACATTGAATTGAAACCTGCAAAGATAGGCAGTATGTTCTGATCATCTTTGACGAAGATTTATCAAAATCCTCGGTCTATACCAAATACTCGGTCTACCTTTTATGGAAGGCACTTTTCAACACGTGACGAAGTTTTCGTCAAACCCATTCTCCAATCAATTGAATGAGTTGCAAAGCATGACGGTCTAATACGTGTTTACGATTCAATAGCGACAAGTGGTTTTCGTCGGTTTACTGCATAATATTTACTTGGTCACCGGAAAAACGGTACAGCTTCTTTTTTACTTTATAAGGCTGAAATTGAAAGATTATATTCCAAAGACACTGTTCCATGCTCACATTTGATATTCGAGTTGTTTTAGATGATTAATAGTTGCTTCAAATACCGTACAAATGCTTTACCGTTTGAGAGTACATAAACACATTTTGTTGATAATGAGGAATTAAATAATAATTGCGCACCTTGTACTGCTGTCTAAAACTATGTTCATGTATATCACGTGAAAAAAAAAAAAAAAACACACTCAATGCTTTATCGACACAATAGCACCTACGTCTCTTCGAACAATGGTTTACGCCGATGTATAACCAGACTGATTACAAGTTGATATAAGGCTTCACAAAGCAAATTTTGTAAATACGAGCGTAGAAATGAAAGATTATACATCATTTTCAATATTTCTTTCATGAATATCAAAAAAGAATTGAAAATGAGTTTCCAAGGAACAATTCAAGTTGCCCTTCATTTTCAACACAACTGAGTTCGTATTGATACGTGTAATAGCCCATAAAGCACTGCGACTCATTCAACAGTCGGTAAAGTAAACAGATAGCTAATTTACATGCAAATTTATGCTGACGTCAGAAAATCTAGTGGTCTCGACCTGATTAAACCTAATGCTTTAAAAAAATTGAAAAAAAAATGGATGACCCATACAAAAATTTTATTTTTGTCAATTTTCCTGGTTTTGCGTCACTGTGTCCCTTAAAGCAAACTGAAAAAGCGGATATTGTGGCCAATCAGATGATTCAGTCGAAGCATCCGGTTAATTAACCATTTTCTGTTTACTTACTTAAGTTTTATGTTCTAATTCGTTTCAATCAAACGAACATATAAATTATTTACAATCATAACACGAACACATGTTTAGTGAAAGAAGCTTGTTTGCTAGCATTTAATAAACGTATACAATTACAAAACACAAGTCTGCAATGGTACCGATTCTTTAACTTCCTTCTACAATGTATCAAAAATGTAATTAATAAAATATCACAATACATCAATGCATTTTCAACACAATGTTCATTTTGTCCACACTTCACTGATTACAACAAAATGCATTTTAGCCAGGCCCTATACTGTAGATTCCTTATTTTTCGCGAGTACTTATTATCGCGAAATGGCTCTTCAACGTCAAATTGCGAGAACAATAATTCGCGAGTGGACGGTTGATCGAGGGATTTTACATTGATTTCAGCACCATAAAAATTAACGCGGGTAATTTCATTTCGCGAGTGGTGCTTCTCGCGTAATTACGCGATAATTAATTCCTCGCGTATATTTAGGAATCTACAGTAGTTTTACCACAATAATCAAAGCTATATAATATAATTATGTATAATGAACACACTCCCTCGCCGCCCAGGAAAAGTCATAGATAAAAAAACAACATTGATTTATGTTGAAAAAACTATGGAAACCTGTAAGTCCGCAGCAGTTGCGAGGTAAACAAAATGAATGGCGGACTCATTCTCACAAACTTACGTAAACCTGTCATTTATTAAGATGTACAAAAAAATTGACCTGCTTGAGCCTGTGTAAAAAATGTATATTAGAAGTCTCTGTAAACATATCACCAAAAATAAATTTCCTTTGGCTATGAACCATTACACAACGATTATACAATTCCATTTCGACGCAAGGAATTGTTTTTCCGTCGTAAGGACAACTCAATTCTTTAAACAGAATTTATTTAATTTACTTTCTTTTATTAAGGTTTTTGTCAAAGGTCAACATGTCCAAAAATTTATTTGTACAATAGCTCCAAAACTATGTGGTTTATAAAGTTAAAACTTTTACAGTTTATAAATATATCATTGATTAACAGATAGAAAGTATCACTTGATAACAAATACTTTAAAAAACATTAAGTAATATAATTCACTGGAAAAAACAAACCTCCTTTTCTAGAGGCCAAGATGAAACTTCGAGATACCAGAGGATTCAATTGTTTGATTGATTGTATGTTGTTTTACGTCACATTCGAGAATTTTTCACTCACAAAGAAACGTCACCATATAGTGAATGGCTTCAAATTTAGACCTTTACTCGGCACTCAGGCCATTGAGCAGTGAGGGTTCTCTATCGTCCCAACGCCTACCGTGACCCAAGGCCTCGGTTTTTAAGGTCTCATCCGAAAGACCCGCGACTTTCTCTTCGAAGTGCAGAGCGCTTAGCGAAGGAACAGTTGCTATCTATTTTTTATCGACTTAGGTCAGTCGCGCCTGTGATTCGAACACATGACCTTCCGATCACGGAGCGAGCGCTCTACCGTGACGGCCCCGAGAATTCGAGATAACGAGGGTAAACACATAAGAAAAAAGTACTGAAAATAATGAATTTGAAATTAGTAAAGGCGAACCACCATTACTTCTACAAGCACTTATTTTTTGATTGTTAATGAGAGAACAAAGAACATAAAACAAGTCAATCAGTCCTTATAAGGGTTTCATTTTCTTCATCTTGCAGTCTGTTTGTAGCCTTTTGACGTAATTTCTTGTACAAAACACATGTAAAGGGTACGGCCAGTGCGCTAAAAATCAAGCCTTGAGCAGCTAGAAGGATGGAGTAAGGAAATCTGAGGCGCACAATATTTTTTCTTTCTTCCCAAAGCTTCGCATTTTCAGTGGAATGATAATATTTGTTAGTGTTTATGTTCAGTATAATCCATCGAATAACCAGGATGAGTTCAATTACAACTGAAATGAACATGCAACTTAATGATTATTAAATATTCACTGAAGCTACTTGCACTTATTCAATTTCATAATAAAACTCTGCTTGAAAAGTTCCAAATTGTGAAAATGATTACATGTACTTAGAATATAATAAACATGTCTAAAGGGTGAATATAACAAACAGTGAACAATCTCACAAATCCAGTAAACACAAAGAATCGAGAATAGGACAAAATCAGGGACCCCTGGAAACACCAGAGGTGGGATCAGTTGTCTAGGAGGATTGAATAAACATTCCCTGTCGACCGGTCACATTCGTGAGCCCTGTGTGTTGATCAGGATGAAGGAGTATAATCTGTAGTCAAATTTATTACATGTATAAAAGCAATGACCTAACAAATGGTATGAAACATGTCAGACAAAATACATGTACAATCCAACGAAAGGTTGTACAAACAAGGTCATTATAACGATAGTATAATTTGCTAAAATCTCCTTTTTTAATGGGATTTTTGGAATCCTTGTAATATCAACTTATTTGTCAGTAGCTTGCCTCGGTTTAAAAAATGACCGTATTCAGAGGATGCTCTTGCATTTCTTTTCCCCCCTTAACTACTTCACAATTTCTTCCTCCAGATTATTGATTATCATAACCTAAGTATATAATGTCAAAAGTGGTATTTTGATATGCTATTAAGAATTTTATTTAAAAATCGCAAAAAGAGGAAAAAAATCTTTTTTAAACAACCAGTATATATACAAATTCAAAAACATTACCTGATACAAACAAGGCCATTCCCCCAAATAGAACTTTACGGTCGGATCCAGAGTTCTTCATGAGGAAGAAAAAGCTCACCAAACATAAAACTAAGACAGCTATAAATGCAGCATAATGAATCTGCATCTCAGACCAAGAAATTAAGAGATCTGAAAGTGTTATCGGAAGATTATTTTTTCTTTCTACAGTAAAATTTATCCAATCTGGATACCACTAATTTCTTAGAAATTGGCCTAATTAGACAACACTCTGGATTACACACTTTAAACATAAAGATACGACATAAAGTTTTCATCATAATAGGCAATACATGTATTTTGAAATTCACAAAATCCAGATTATACAAGTTTTACTGTATATTGCCAAAAAAAAAAAAAAAAAAAAAAAAAAAAAAAAAAAAAAAAAAAGATACTCAAATATTTCATAATAAGATTTTTTAAATTAATCCACAAAGCATACGTGACTTGTACATGTACATCTTGCAAGATCTTGATCCTTTTACTATCAAATGAATCAGATGACTTTATTTTTATTTTGGGGGAATATTTATACAAATGATGAATAGATAAATAGCTTACAGTCAGTTGTATTATTTGTTGTGTCTGCCGAGCGTGGGTTAGACAGGCATTTATTTGTACGTTTTCCATCTTTTCTTTCGTAGGTACAATTCTTCAAGTAAAAGATACTTTCACTGAATATGGTAATTTGTATCTTTTCTACCTGAAAAAAAAAAAAAAAACACCTCCGATATATAAAAGAAATTAATATAACAAATGCAGCCCTTTCACACAATCAATTCATATAGATACACCGCCTTCACATAATCGAAGTACTGAAAGTACTGCATGACAGAGGCATGGCAATTTAAAGTGTTTAAAAACATACTATATATTGTACAAACCATCCTGACAGTATTCAATATGAAGGATGTTTTCTCAGTTTCGAAAACTAATAGTAACAGATCGATTTATGCTGACGAATTGCGAATAAAAGTTATCAAGAATAATCTAATGGTTGGAAGACCCATGAAACACATGAAATGGTTTTTGAAAATAAAGATACTTCCTTGGGCCTGTTTTTTTTTTCTTTTTTAAACATTTCAGTTCTTTATTAAGGAGAAATGATATTTTGAGAAAACGCTAACTAAAAAAAGAAATGGGCATAAAATTTTCTAATTAATAATCAGTCGAGTATACCTTATCAAAACTTTATAAGCTGAAAGAAACATGTAATCACAATTAAGCCATGTAGCATGCATAAATACTATAGCACAAAACTGTTACGAGTTTTGAGAAGCCTGTAAGTTCTCCCAGAGTATAACAAATTTGTGATTTAAATGTAAGCTTTGAAAATATAGGACAAGTTTCTCTACTTTGATTATTATTTTGTATCAAAGATTTTCATTTCTTAATTGTATTCATTTATTTCATATATGATTTATTTACGTTTTTTAGGCAGGGGGTATTTCTTTGTTAATCATAGGCATCCTTGTACATATATATTTTAGTGTTTTGGCATGGTGGAATCAACAATTTATGAAAATTAACAATATTCACTAGAACGAAAAATGCAAGGTTTAATTAATTCGACGACAAAAACAAACAATGGAATTTTGGTCTGAAAAAAGGATATGGCTCAAAGACAGAAAGAAATATTCTTGGTATTTTTCTTGCAAACACAAATTATATGTTCAAGAATCACAATCAACTACTAATACAGTTTTCTATTTAAAGAAAAAACTTTGGCAATAAAACGCTATAATAAGATGGACCAAACATGTCCATGCCAACCGATATAAAACTGAGTAGGGTTGACAGTTAATGCCATATGATCTATAATGGCCGGTAAAATAAGTAAACGTACTCAGTGTGGTACAGCTACCCTGCATAGCTAAAATAAAAATACTCTCTTGATTATCTAAGCAAAAACAGTTTACTAAAAATGTTAATAAATAAATAAAATAAGGTTAAGGATTACTGTTATTTTTAATGACCACTACAGCATTTTGATGTCATAAGAAAATTTCAGTTAATTACAAATTAATATTCTGCATTCAGTTGTAGTCTTCATTATCGGTTATGAAATCATTCATTTGTACAACTTGGAAAAATTATTCGACCTCATGCCGATTTTAATGAGCTCGCTGATGTGATAACTCGTTACACTGAAGTTCTTATCTAAATCTATTTTTTTTATTCCGATTAATTAAATATAGAACTATTTACATGTACATAGTGTCAACAAATAAAAAAAAAAAAATCAATTTTAAGATTCTTAAAATGCGGGATATAAAAATCAGCAGGAGGTGCGGAAGATCGTTGAAATATCGGGAGATCACGTGAGAAGAATCATGTATTTATTTATGTAGTATAAAAGAAAAACTACAAATAAGAAATAAATTCCGCTTTATTGCAAGAGTCGACATTTCGTGTACACGGCTATCTTCATGTCCATATTTAAACACATTCATAATTTTGCTTGGTTTAAAAATGGCTGTATACACAAAAATTAAACTTGCATTGACAAATCATCAAAATCATGAAAATTAAAGAAAATCAACAAGAATAAACGTTGTTTTAATCTCCCTTGCAGAGTTGTCGATCGTTCCTCCTTCAGCGCCGATTATGTTTGTTTCTGACTTGTTAAAGAATTCCAGCACCAGGTGGCGATCACGTTTTCCAAATGCGATAGCAAAGCACGCGAGGCTCTCTGATTCTTCAGATAAACATATATTCATACTATTTTATGATCTACCAAAATATTAACGAAATAATAGAAATTGACGAAAGAAATGACTTTAGCAGCAAAATCCTATTAACTAAATTCTGATTAGTAATCTGTTTATATATCTATGTTACACTGTGAAACCTGAAGAAATTTGTCCAATCTGGCCGCTAGGTGGTGTCTGCCCCAAATCTTTCTTGTTTATTATCGACGTCACATGCAAGATTACCAGTAGCAATAGAGGAGGCTCATAGGCCTCCGTCTAAAAAGCATATCGACCTTGTGGTGGGTCGATGAAAGATGAAGATAATAAACAGTAATCAAGATCAGAAGTCCATTCGAACAATACAGATTGAGCGCAAAGCAAAACTTTAGAGGTGGAATCAGGTACCATTAGGAAGTAAGCACCCTTTTCGACTGTTCATACCCGCCGTGTGCTCCTTGTCATGATCGGGCAAATGGAAAAATCCGTTGATTCAGTGTGAAAGTAATGGCCTTACAATTTATATGAAAAACGTAGGTCAGCATTCGACTTAACGATGATATGCTTTCTGCAAAGTCGATATATCCATAGATCAACCTCATGAAAAAGTTTTTTTTGTATAAAGTTCGCGTCTCTGTTTTAATGCTCCCGCTAAGATACAAGAATTATAGGACTTAATCGAAATCTTAAGTATAAGTGATGAATCATGCAGACAAAATTTACTATCTCTGTGGATGTAAGGTACATGCATTATTTTATTGGTTTATACATTGATTGAAAGGGATTCAATCTTACCCGGCCTTTGATGAACTGTTCATAAAAGGTGTCATTTATGAAACCTTGCTCTGTTGATAATTTTTTCCATAGTCTCTTCTGTAAAACGAAAAGTTTTGATTTAAAAAAAAAACTTAAAAGATTTTAAAACACACAAAACTACTCATCATTTAATGTGATGCTAAAAAGTGTCTTTCTCAGGAAACAAAATATGATAATATTTTTGAAAAAAAAAATTGCTTTGACTTTTGAGGAGCCTTAGTCGCACGAAAATGAAGTTCTCGTTAATATCAAAATCAAATACACTGACTTTAATGAAATGATAAACTATTTCTGATCGCAAAATATATCAAATTTATCCAAAAAAGGTAAAACTTTGAATAAAACATTGGAATTATATATGGATTATCATACCATGAATTGAACAGATGGATATGGCTTCATTACTGATGAAATTCGCCAGCCTGGTGTGACCAGGGCCACGAGCCAAAATCCAAATGTCAAAAATACTAATACCAACATCAAGAAACGTTTTCTTTGCATTTTGAAAGACCTGGATAAATATATTACTCAGTATATGAAACATTGCTTCCTATCTAACATAACTAACTTTAGGGTTAAATTCAAACGTTTCACACGAACCACTTGGAAATATAGCTTAATGGTTTCACAGCGTTCAAAAAGTGTTATGCCATCAAAATATTTTTCCTAATAAAAATTTTGTTTAGGTCTCATTATCAATATTGCGATTATTGTTATTTTAAACTTGTATCATTCAAGTTTGATTATTTGTTTGTTTGTTGTTTATCGTCCCTCTCGAGAATTTTTCACTCGTATGGAGACGCCACCACTTGCCTGTGGAGAGCTGCAAATTTCGACCTATGCTCGGCACTGAGGGCTATTGAGCAGTGAGGGATCTTTTTCGTGCCAGCATCTACTGCGACACGGGACCTCGGTTTATACGGTTTCATCCGAAAGACCGGTCTCCACGTCCCACAGTGGGATTCGAACCCGCGACGTAAGGATCAACTCCTTACTCCGGGACTCTAGAGCAGACGCTCAACCACTGCACCACGCGGGCGACCATTCAAGTTTGGTAAGAACACTGAACTCAGTTGTCGATTAAAGTAAAAAAAAAAAAACTAGAATATTCCATCAACGATCAAAAAGCTTGAGTGAGTTTTTTGATCGAAATTTCTTCGTTATCGTCATGAACTGCACGAATTTCAAGCAAATGTGGCCCAAGATGCACTTTAGTATAGGGAATATAAGACTTTTCAGATAAAAACATTTACCCCTTCTAAGGGGAGATAATAAAAGCAAGGTAAACATTTAAATAACCAATGCGCCAGAAAAGATTGCACTTTTTTTTTAAGCTACTAGATGAAATCCCGCGCAAGCGCGGGGAATTGAATCTATACTACTACCGACAGAAAATATTTTGTAGTTTCTACTGACAGCCTACAGGCTTAATACTTCGTTCAAAATCTCGCTAGAAGTAAATGTACGTCTCCACCCCCCACCCCACCCCCCTTTGTAAAAACTTGACGTTTATTGTGAAATCTGTTATACTATGTTATGGATATTGTACTTCAGATGCTCTTATTTCATTTCCGTTAAGGATAAAAGCACTGAATCTGCACATTTTACTGATAAATTGATTTGGGGGGGGGGGGGGGGTCAAATGTCACAGGTACTTGGGTCTTGGTTTATAAATATGTTTGTACCTTACTGATATGTAAATAATGTACTATACTTTCTTACATATCAATAAGGTACGTACATATTTATAAACCAAGACTCAAGTACCTGTGTAAAATTAGCTTTTAATGCCCTATAAATAGGCCGAGTATTTGATACAAAAGACTGTTTTCAAAAAAAAAAAAAAAAAAAAAAAAAAAAAAATGAAATGTATTGATTAAAGCACAAAATTTTACATCTTTAATTGTTTTTGAACAATACCTTATTCATTAATTTTCTCTTTACATGTAAGCAAGTTTATTACGAAGTACAAATTGTACTTCGGGTTCGTTGCCACGACGCTCTAAGTAAGGAATATATACAAATTTTACCGACAAATTTATTAGGAAAACCTACTACATACATGTATATATATGTAATGGTCTTTCGATATATAAATATATTCACAACTTATAGTGTTACCAATGATTTACCATGATTTCAATGACCAATCACAGAAAAGTTTTTTTTTATGTTATGCAGCTATAAGTGCCTCTGTTTTTTTTTAATATCGGGCTCGATGCTGTATGATGTTCTAGAAGCTTCCGTCAATATCAAGATCGGTGAATGACGAAAATAATTTGCATATTTCCCTTTTTAATCGGTTATCACAACTTATTTCTTTTATATAATTTAAATCAAGTTTTGATTGAATAATTCAGTGATGACGTTTTATGAAATAAATAACGATTGCTTGTTGTCAGTTTCATTAAAAATTGCCAGTAACTTAGATCCGCCAACCGAAAACGCCACCGTACTCAAGTTTTTGCTATTTTATGGCTGTTTATAGAAAATAAAAGTAGACTTTTAATTTAATGTACGATTCTTACTATGCAAGTGAAATCTAAATATAGTTTACGGACATCATCTTGTATCTTGTGTATTGTTAGAGGAGTAAGTAAGAACTCTGATGCACCCGTTTCGGAGTTTATTTGCAAAATTTATTAATTTATAAGTATAGATGTGAGGTAGTTTGTTCAAGTCAAGGCCACTTATGTAGATTTTGGTAACAAAAAGGATAAACTTTTAGCTTGGAAATATATATAAAAACATTCATAACAGTTATCTTCCCAAGAAAAGCAGGACCATAATTATTCATATTAATAAACAATTATCTGAAGGTAAGTGTTTAAGTTGGTGGAGCAGGTATACCCTGGAGTTTTGTATGGAGGTAGGTAAGAAATTTAAAACAAAACTGTGTTAGAGTAGGAGTGCCACACCTAATCATATTTAAATGCAAATATACAGAATACATAAATGGTACCAAATAAGCACTTCAAAATAAAAATAGCTTTAAAAATTACACATCTAAAGGAAAATGTTATTTAACATTTATGAAAATGTACAATTTAATATAATTGATAATGCAACGTATTTAATTCTTTTGTTTATGCTATTAACTTTAAATCAGCTAGCAATTATACAAAAAGTTGAAATGTAGCATTACAAATGACGACCAAATTCATACAAAATTTGTAAAATAAACATAGACTCTATGTTTTATAATGCATGAAAAATATTAACTACTTACCTAAACACTCAAACAGAAATATGAAATCCTGACCATTATAATATGAAATATTTTCAGCTGTTTCAAAAAGAAATGGTCAATGAGTGCATAATGCTTGAATTTCAATCATAAGCACGAACAATACAAAGAGCTGGATTTTACGGCGGAAAATCCAGGTGTCTAGTCTACGTTATATTTAATTATTTATGCACATAACCTTAACATTTTTACGATGCCGGTGATTCTTTGTTACAGCTATTAAAGATCTTGTTCAATTCACCCAAAAGGCTTTCTGTTTGTATGACTACTATCTCCCCCAATGTATTTAATTACAGAGTGTCTATTTTATATTTTGGATGTTTTACACTAAGGACAATAAGGACCAACAAACAACTACACTGTACACTGTAAAAAAATGATGTTTAACTTGTGTTTTAATTTTTAAACAGTCGTGTTTTACAATTAAACATGGTGAGTTTAAATACAAAACATTAACGTTTAACATATAAACACGACTATTTAAATTGGTGTTCAATAAGTTGGGTGTTTAATCATCCATCTTAAACACGCAATGTTTATATGCATCAAATCAAAAAATTAAATTAGGTGTTGCTTCTCAGTATTGCTGTGTGCATTTGTTATTTGTACAATTTCTTAATTTATGAAGTAATTTCGTACATACTAGTAGATATTTTTCGACACAGAAAAAATATGAATAGCCAGGCAATACGTTGACTTTAGATCATACCAAAAGCAATTACAATTAACATTAATTTATGGTAATTTTATGCCAAAAATTCATAAATTTCATAAACTGTTAAAGGGGAAAGAGAAACATATACTATGATGACTTCTATAATTTTATCAATATTTTAATCACCGGTGTTTAACACGAGTGTTCATTTCTTAACCATAATATATTTATAAATTAAACACTTGGCATATATATAGAAATTGCAAAATAAACACCTGCGTTAAATACGTGATGATAGAAAATGACGCAATTGATTATGTCATAACATGCCATTTGAACGCAGAAGATGCAGAATCACGCATATACTGGCAAAAACACCATATCTAACAAGGAAACAGGAGGTATTTATACATTTCTTTATATAAAATCTGAAAAAAATTGAATGTTTAATACATTAGAGATTTATACTGCTTTTCATTTATGAAATGCAGGATTGTTAGGCTTATCGTCTGAGTGCAAATGCTGCCATGTGCAGCGGTCGGCATAAAATATTTGTAGTCTTTAAGTATTTTGCGATATCTAATTAATTTGCAGGGACGTTCCTCTCTTATTGTGAATCCTGAGAAGAATACATTACTTGATAAAGGAAAGTGATTTTAAACGAAGATCACACTTAACCTTGAGAGGTGAGTTTAAAGGGCATTTCAAAGAAAAAGGGGCACCCCCCTTACACACACACACCCTCACACACAACCCCTTACACACACAAACACAAACATCATTGTTTCCTAGCCTACACTAGTTTTGGGTCTCCCAGTAACATGAAATTTAAGTAAATGTAATCCAATTACCTGCCCTTGATAAAATTTATGCTCCCTATCACGCATTATTATGATTATTTGCTGACCATACATAACTTAACACATAAGCGTTAACAACAACACTTTCCATCCCCTGCCAGCGCATGTATTCTTTAAGGAGACTTTACATTTTTGGGGAGTGTTGTTTACATGATAGAAAATGCCTTGGGTAGCCCCCCCCCCCCAACCTTCCCCCTTTTAATTGTTGCTGTTGGGCTGCTCCTGCAGGTACATTAATATTTAATTTTTTAGTGTATACATATACACTGTTTGTATGCTTATATGATTTATTTGTATTGCAGATTTTTATTTCAAACTCGTTTCTCAATATGTATTTTATAATTAAAACTGGCGTGAAGGATAACAATTTTTTTTTATCTCAATGTATTCTTTCACAGATAATTTTCTGAATTTGCATAGTGAATATTTTTTATCTATCTATTTTTCAGGATATTTCTGATAAGAAGAAGGAATTAGAAATACTAAGGTTGAATAAAATTTTGGAGAATGGAAAACTGGAGATCATCATCCGTGGCAGAAGAACCTGAATTTTACACACAAGCAGAGGAGACTGTTTAACTCGGTTAGAATATCATATGAAATTTAGTGAGTGATGCCCCGGCAGCTCTTGTGAAGTTGCAAGAATATTTAATGAATTAGTCGTTTACAGGTAAAAACTGGAAATTTTCTTCATTTGGTTAAAACTCTGAATATTAGTGAAAGTAAAATTATACGGGTACAACTGGATTTATTAACTGCAATACATACACAATGTATATATCCCGTACCCAGGCAATAAATAAGATTTTCAGTTTTTGTGCATTATATTTAATTATGAAATTGTTTGTTTAATTAAAAACGATGTAATGGACGCCCTTTCCCTTTTTTAAGATAAAGTTTCAAAATTTTATTCCTGAAAAATAATATTTCATTTTATTAAGCGATTTTCCTATTTCACCCCCCCCCCCCCCCGCCACCAGTTTTATTGAATTTAGTTCACATGCAGGTTTTACATGTTCATGCTAGATTTTTTTTTTTTTTATATAATTCTATCTTTTAACTTGAATTGAATTATGTATCTACATGTGTGTGTTAGCAAATGTTGATAAATGTTATAATTGTTTATAAAGTTTGAATCTCTATTCAACATTAAATCATTTATTAATTAAGCTTTATGTACATGTTCCTCATCAAGAAGATGTGTGTTTTGTACTGTTTTATGTTTGTTTCAAATAAAAATGTTGAAAACTTATAAACACGTTTAAGTGTTTATTTATTTTGTAAATTAAACACGTTGAAGTGTTTAAAAAAATGACGTATAAACATGTTTAAGTGATTATTATCTGTTGCATCGAATAAACATGTTTAAGTGTTTAGGTTGAACGTGTTTATTAATAAAACATGAAATGTTTAAATTTTAAACACGTACGGTGTTTATTTAGTAAACTCCTTGTGTTTATTCAGTGTTTAATCTTTAAACATTTTGTGTTTTTTAAGTGTTTAGTATTTAAACAGAATGAGAAGGAAGTATTTAAATATTAAACCTCATGTGTTTAGAATTTAAACATTCTTACGTGTTTATTTCTTAAACACTTCACGAAGTGTTTAAATTTTAAACGTGTTAAAGTGTTTATTATCTGTGGCAATTTGGTGTTTATTTTTAAAACACTTATTTTTTACAGTGTATGACAAACAAGATGACTTCAGCTTTTCCATCGTTATTCTACTATTATTCTACTATATTCATCGATATTCCACTATCACGTGCATATGATGTTTACAACTCTCTTATTCGATACTCATGAGCAGAGCCCGAGCACGAATTTCTAAACCAAGGCAGGCTGCTGACAATAAGTTGTTAAGGGATTTCAACAACCCCGTTTAAAGTCAACATTTCGTGAATTCTGTGGTTGTTATAATGACCTTGTTATATTTTGACTGACATATTTCATACTAATTGTTAGGCCTTCGTTTTTATGCTCAATTTGACTAGAATATTCCGTCTATCTGATCAATAGGATCACATTAATGGGCTCACGGCTGGAGTGAAAGGTCGACAGGAAGATGCTTACTTATCCTAATCACCTGATCCCACCTCTTGAATTTCCGGGGGGGGGGGGGGATTTTATGCCCTGTTGACATATTCGTATTGTTTGTAGGTTTTTTTTAAAGATCAATCACTGAACGTTATCGTCATCTCTTCATCTCTCTTTTATTTTATACTCCTTAGACTCTGCATGGCGGTAAGAAATACATAGAAGAGGGGGTCTCTTTCTGGCTTTGTCCTTATGTAAGGTTTTTTAGATCAGTGGTCTATGCTGCGGCCTAAAAAAAATTAAACTTCTAAAAATGTTGTTAAGAAAATACATGTAGTATTTAGTAAGAATTGAACAGACATGCTTTAAAAATTCGCACAATATCTAGTATGAAATTCGTAATGGTGTAGAGCACAACTGAAGAAGTGCAATTTCTAGTACGTGATATTCAATACAAGAAGATCGTTTGGTAACTTAGTGGTAGGGGCGTTCGCTTCTTGATCGGGAGGTCTGGATTTAATTCTTGTTCGCCGCGCCGCGTCAAACCTAAGACGTAAACATAAATATGAATACAAAGTCATAATGTAACAAATCGTTCCATTCTTTCGATGTCCCGAATTGTAATCGACTTTCCTTCCTACTTGCCGGCAAATTTCCTTGGTTGTTTCCCTCTGATAGAGATTCATACATACACAATTGAACGTTCATTATCAAAGGAATATCGTTGATGTCATAGTTTCCACCATCCGCACTGTATAGTTGATTTATTTAACACTTAATCCATTCGTTGTATTCATCCTACGACCAGCTATTCGACACCTATGTCATTTTAGTACCACGTAACCGTACCTTTTCCTGCGAGGACGATAAATCACGGGCGTTTTATCGCCTAATTAGGACTGTTTTCAGCTAAATTAAACGTTCAGTTCAGTCAATTCTCTCAAAACCATGTAAATGGTACATGAGGTATTAAAAAAGAACATATATACATATATTAATACAATGGGTGAAGCAAGAAGTTTGAGTCGCATCTAGCTAGAGGGAGAAAAGACCAAACAAATAATTTTAATAATAAATGTACACAGCTTTTTTAAAATTTCACCATCTTTTGAGCACATGTTTTCACAGAATTTTATAATATTTGGCTTACAATAAAATTTCGGGCCCGAGAATATTTTCTTCAAATATTCTAAAGCATTACATTCCAAAATATATTGGTATTCATCTATATTTTTTACTATCGCACAAATAACAAAGTTGTTCATTTCTTTGTGTACAATTCCATCTGCCTGTTTCGACTGGGAGATGGTGATTTGTTGTTCTAAATTTTACAAGAGTTTCTCTCAATTTACCGTCTGATTTCCAGTCCGTTGTAGCAGAATGTTTTATATACAGGCGATATAGTGTCTTGATTACTGTCACTGTTCGCAGGGCTTGATCCTGTCGTTGTCCACGGTGTATGTACACAGACGGCGCTGGTGCTGTGCGGCGAGGCGAGTT